AACACACAACTCCTTTGCAAAGTCTTTAACCGCTGTTTGGACACTGGAACTTACCCATGGAACAACAGCATTATTACACCTCTACACAAAAAAGGCGACAAAGATAATCCAGACAATTACAGAGCAGTTGCTGTGAGTAGTACAATCGGAAAACTATTTTCGACCATCATGTTAAACAGGATAATCAAGTTCAAAAATGAATACAACCCGGACCCCATAAATCAACTTGGCTTCGCTAAAGGAGCTCAAACATATGACCACATACTCACACTCAACACCATTACGTCTAAATACAAAAAGCTCAAGGTTCCCGTCTATGCTGTTTTTGTGGACTTCCGGAAGGCCTTCGACTCTGTTTGCCGTGAAGCTCTTTTCTTAAAATTAGCTAAACTAGGTATCACTGGCAAAACATTTAATGTTCTTAAACATATGTATAAAAATTCCACTGGCCAGATAAAACTATCTGGATTTGTCAGCGAAAAATTTGATATCAATAAAGGAACTGAACAGGGTCATCCACTTTCCCCTGATCTATTTAAGATATACATCAGAGATCTTTCCCCTCGACTAGAATATGATAACTGTCCGAAACTAATGAACCAACTTATCAGTCACTTACTATGGGCAGATGATCTGATACTCTTGGCACTGGACCCCAAAACCCTCCAAAAGCAACTCGATGCTTTGAACAATTTCTGCTTGGAATGGGGCGTCGAAATTAATGCAGATAAAACTAAACTCATGAAATTTAATGCCCGTTTTGATACTTATCAGCCGGTTCCCCTCAAAATTGGTGATCACTTGTTAGAAGAAGTCGAGTCATACTGCTATCTAGGAATCGAAATACACAAATCCGGCACATTCACAAATGCCCGAACTGAGCTCAAAAAGAAAGCCATGCGTGCACTTTATGCCATGAAAAGCTCAGTAAACAAATCCAAATTATCATTCCGCTCTCTAACAACACTCTTTGATGGTCTTATTAAACCTATCGTTCTTTACGGAGCGCCTATTTACACACCTAACATGGCTATCATAAAACACATAACAAAACAAGTCGATCTCAATATGGATGCCGACACAAAAACAAAATTTCAAACTAGTATCCTCAAGAAAATTAGCCTTCTGAACAGCGAAAAAGTTCACCTTCACTTTCTTAAATGGTCACTGGGGGTAAATCGTAAAGCCAGCAACGCAGGCGTCTGGGGTGAGTCAGGCCGCTACCCATTAATCTATGAATGTATTAACCTCACTCTCAAATATAGCCAACGTTTGAAAAATCTCAAAGATAACTCCCTTGTCTCCTTAGCTTTCAAAGAACAGATGAACATGAAATTGGACTGGTACAGGGGTTTGGAGCCTGTCCTCGCGCTAGACCCATGTTTCTCTACCGATCATGTCACAGCCTACCGCACACTCAAAAACAATCACTCCAAGTTACTTTTCGAAAGAAACCCGAGTATCGCAAAACCACCAAAAGAGGACTTTCTTATTCACAACGGTTTCAAGAAACGAATTCCTCCTCAATCAACACAACCCATCGGGAGTAAAATATTCACACCACACGTCATTACTAAAACTTTGAAATGTAACTTTAGAGAATATTGGGGGTCCTGTATCAACACTTCTCGGAAATTAGAATTCTATCGTGACCTAAAATCCAAATTTAACAAAGAGTATTACCTAGATAGTGTCATTAAATATGCAGACCGTGCTAATATCACAAGACTGCGGATCAGTGCACATCGACTCGAAATTGAACTTGGCCGATATAATCAAACTCCACGTGACGAGCGAATATGCTCCTGGTGCAATATAGTCTTAGGTTCTGGTATTATTGAGAATGAAGACCACTTCCTTAACCATTGTGATCTTAACGCTGCATCGAGGCGAAAAGTCCTAGACAAGATCCAGTCACTCATATCAAATCCAATCAAACCGTCTGCGACATCTTATTCTGTTCACAATGTCATCCCTGGAGCAAACGTCCTCAAATTCATCAGCAACAACAGTGAAATCATTGAACTTATCACGAACGAAAGTCAAGTCCACCTCACGAGAGTCGTTGCTAGGTTTGCCACTACGTGTTTTAACAACCGCAAGAAATTTGTTGACTCTCTGGCCAGTACATGAACAGTGAACACTGAAAATCACTGTACCCGCTTTTGTTTCTTTTCGCGCAACGACGAGTGCAAACTGCAAAGTGACCTGGCTCAAGCATTACAGCATTACCAAGGCGACTGAAAACAAAATATTTTATGTCAAATCTTTATTTTTCACTTTAGTTAAGTTATATTAATATAATAAATTCAAATCTTATGATATTGTTATTATCTTAACAGTTACTATTGTAGCTCAAGATTTTAAATTTGTATTCCTTGTATTCCTTGTATTCCTTGTATTCCTTGTGTCAAGTCTTCGATATATAATATGCGAACAGACAGTGAGAAGTATTGATTTTTTGCCATCGACCACAGTCTACTACATCCTTCAACTACATATTTGTACCCTCCACTACCCTACTATGGTTTACACATCTGACAAGGACAAGAGATTGAACAGCATCAATTCCTGTGACCCAATCTGCAAACCCTCTACTCCTTTGGCTAAGTCGACTCAACGAGGCAGACCGCTGGTGGTAAGCAGAGCACACCCCAACTTCTGCACACACTGTGGTGAGCGCCATGCCTCTATATCCTGCGCTGCTGTGGATCCTGTCAACATAGACGCTCCTATCCCAACTAATTCTACAGCTCTCCCTGTCCCTCCTTCCAGATGCCCCGACTGCACAGTGCTGAAAAGAACGGGTCCTACAATTACAGTCCTTGATGGTGTCGAAAGAACCGTCACTATCACAGAACGAAAGCTCTGCCCAACCCACCTTGTTGGAGACTCCACTGCTCCTCCCCCTTCCCCTCCTTCCCCTACCAACTGTCGACTCTCCCCTCAACCTCATCGAGATACCGCCTCCTCAACCACTACCAGAGAGCTCGGCAGGACCTATCAGACGGAGGAATACCACACGGAGGAGCATGGAAGCAGCAATCCATCAACAATATCCTCTTGTTTTGGAGATGGTGAAGAGTGGGACGAGCGCAAGGCAGGCTATTCAGCAGATTCAGATGCCCAGATCAACGTTCTACAAGTGGCGTTTTGTTGCAGAAATGAAGCTTGTCGACTCCTCACACTATCATCACCTAGCTGATCAGTTCAAGGGAACCAAGCTGTGTGATCAATGTAAATACTGTTTATTTGAGGACTCTGCCTCTCTCAGAAAGACAGAGGAGATGAGGAAGAGCTCCGACCTTCTCCATCTATCTATGTAAATTGTATGTTATTTACTTTTGTAATACTTATTATACATATTGCAATCATAAAGATGCCAATTTCAATTGATAATAAAAAATTAGATATAATCTTCATGAGTTGACTTATGGTGGTCCATGGACCACTGTACCTTGGTGAAGTGGTCCATGGACCAGTCGAGCTTCTTGGAGACTGCCTGATTCCCCTTATAACAGTATCCACTGCAGGTAGCACAGCACCAAGACAGTCCTGGGTTTGGATCTAGTAAGAGTTCTGCTGGCTCCTCGACCAGCACCACTGGCTCTGACACATCTCCTACTGGACCTCCTGAACCTATCGTCACTGAAAACACTTTTATATTCGCTAGAGACATCTAGACAGACATTCGATATTATGTAAATCTAGTTTCAGCGGCCGGGGCCGGTAAACGTACTTGCTACTTAGTTATATGCTACCCGCGGTTAACTTGGCCGAGTGTGAAGCATCATTTAGCTTAATCGTGCGAAAATTTAATGCTAAATATACTTACCCAGACAAATGAAGTATTGATGAAAACTGTTGAAATTATTATATATTACTGACTTTTAAAATAGCAGCATAAGTAGTAATTAGTTATAGTTGAAATCTATCCTTCAGAATTTGATTTTTCTTTACAATTATTTAATAGTTGATAAAACATTTATCTTCATATCTTGATCTTATTCTTAGCTTCGTTTGTTTGTTTTTCAATAGTTACCGAAATAACATATGTATAAAGCCAATTTGATGAGAAATCCACGAACACAACATTCGGGATTGATATGAATAACTACCCGTGATGATAAAATTTGGAGCATTTCAAAAGTCATCATGATTATACTATTCAAAGATTTTTCGAAGCGATTTAAGCATGGGCATTAAGCACTGCTCATTAAGCAGTGCGTCATGACTCGTGATATATAAATTTTCATCACGTCAACGCACTAGAGTTAGACTACACTAGACCCCACTAGACTCCACTAGACATTAATTCCATGCTCTAGAATCCTCAACAGTCTCCTCCTCATGCTCCCTAATGTTCTGCTGGCGAGGAAGAGGATTAAGTAGGGTGATCATCTTTGCCTCCAATACCTCCGAATTTGCAGCAATTAGATTTTTTGCGTATATTGATCCGTGAAAACGATTCCTGAAGATTGAAAAACTCACGGTATCTATTTTTAAAGAAGTCTAGACCTTCTCACCCTCCCTTGCTTCTCTTAAGGAGAGAAATCTTCTTTTGTCAGCCGAGTTCTTACCCAGCACCCAGTGTGACTGTGACTTTCCCTGACTATCGTAGTAACGGAGTCTACCCGGTTTAGTATGGGAACTGGGAAGGTTCATGGTGAATCGGGGTTTAAAGTTAAACCCTACTAAAATATAAGATTTGAAGGGAGGGTTCTTGTAAAGGAGAGGCACCTGGTAGTGGTACTTGATTTGTTATAATTTGGACCTTATTGCTGATCAGCTAAAAGTAGTTATGATAGGTTAAGGCTATGGTTGTGTAATTGAATTTCTGAAATATTTGTCGTTTGCTGTCATGCTTTACGGTTACCTGCACTGTTAATCATTGCGTTTAGCTTTGAGTAGTTTATTATGTGCGTAACTAAACTATTAAAAATGTTGCTTATTTTATTTGAATCACTTCCAGTGGAAGTTCCACACATTAAATATCTTTCAATTTAGCGGATGTTTATCATGGAGCAGAGTGAAACCTGAAGTCGGCATTTAGCTACCATGGTTAAATGGTTGATGATGATTGATGGGGACATGCCCTTCATCTCTACATGAAATTCCAGCTCATTCAAGGTAAGATGGGTTCAAAGTTACAGAGCTTGTTTAGTTTTAACGGTTGTAAGATGGGTTCCAAGTTACAGAGCTTGTTTAGTTATATAACGGTTGTCCGGCGCTGATTAACTCAGCACCATAACATCATAATCATATGATCGTGGTCCAAGTTCGAACTGTACCCAGCAATTAATTTACCCCAACCAAAATCCTGCTCGTTTAAAATCCAATCAGCAAATTGAGTATAGCGTGCCCCTTTTCAGCCTGCTCATTCTAAAGAAGATCTAAAAATGTGATCGTATGGGGAGTGGAGGAGTATATACCGAAATTAAGATAAAAGCCCATTAGCCGTGCAGGGGTGGCTCGTGGAGCGATGGGTGACCAGTGGAATTCATGCCTTCACCCTTCAAAGGTAAGCTTTAGACGTTAGTTTGGTATCTGCGTTTTGTTGCCTAGGTGATAGGTCTCGCAAGCATCCGCGTGATTCAAATAAACAGATTTCTAAATTTAGACCGTGAGAAATTTTGGCTCTGTTAATTTTCCGTACCAAAAGGTCTGCACAGACTGCATGGCTGAAAATGAATTACCGGCTAGTCTGTGTTAACCAACCGTATTTTGAGAAACTTTGCAACCTTTCGACAAATTATCTGGTATGGGCAATACATTTGGTGGTCCGATGTGTTAATCCAGAATAAACTTTGGGGCTGGCCATTCTTGAACTCGTGCCGCCGATTTTTTAAATCCACATAAACATCGCATAATCTCTAGTTTTCTAAATAGAACTTGCATCATACTCATAGCGTAAGATAATTTTTAAAGTCAATTTTTTCTAAAACGAAAGGATGTATCATCTGCCAAATACCATGGTTCCTGTTGAAATCACACCAGACGTGAAACAAGAGTCTTGGTCAATTAAATAACTCAAATTTTTAGTAGCTAGAATTGGTTCCATCTTAAATGTTTTGAGAGCTTTAATCGTAATTTTAAGTTTTACCCTATAATAAGCAGGCGATTTCTTCTCTCTTAACTTTTTGCCTCAGCAGGCAGATAACGTTTCGACCAATCAAATAGCGCCATCCCTCCTCCTTAAAATTGTTCTTAAAGCGGTTAGGTATTTTCCACCAATGGGAAGCTTCCGAGATTAAAAATATGTTTGACTTTTAATTGACCACTTAACTCAAGCTCTTGGCTTCAGGGTAAATTAAGGCAAAGGTGGTATCAATAATAAACGTTGCGTTAACTTCCTAACCTTATTGCTAAGTCAAGCTTTAATCTGAGATCTGTTTCAAGAGAAGAGATTTTCGGTTAAACCAGCGTATAAGTGAGCAAGTCGCTGACAACAGGTTAGTCATAGTGAGTTACTAAAATTTCAATGACAACTCCATATTTTTGGTTGAAAGATCGTAACTAAATTGGAAAATTTGGCTATCATTATTGGTTGAAAGACAAGTAAATTAGATAGTTTTGTTATCATCATTGGTTGAAAGATTGGATAACATCATTCGGGAGAAAATAGTTTGAGCTTTACACTTTACAGACTAGTTAACAAATAAAAATTATGATAATTTCGAGAGGCACAGTATAACCCATGTTATTCATTGCAAAGAAATTGCCTTATAAAACTCTGCCTACGCTAACGATATAAATTTAAATCGCTGATTGGAAGCAATTTAACGATTGGCGTGGGTTTCATCAAAGAAATTAACATTCGGTTTACCAAAACGGATTATAATCTAAGCCAAAAGGAGTTAAAATATCTCGATGACTTTTTGTATGATTTCAGCGAGTTGTTACGGATTACCCAGCTTTTTAACGCGGCAAATAAAATTTGTCGCGTTTAAACTGACTAAATGTTCAATTCCTCTCTGAAGAAAATATCTGAATTCTATAGAAACCTTTTGCTCTAATATTATTTAAAAGTAGTATAAATAATATAGCGGAAATTATCGCCAAAATCATCAAAATCTTTAAATCGAGGATGGTAATGTTTACATTTCCAATTAAGTTAGATAGAAAGAGGACCTTTATTTAGGGACGGAAATACGTTTGATCCACTCAATAAAAATGTATCAATAAATAAATAATGGCCAAAAAATTGAAATCCGAAGTTTCGTCCTAAGTTAACCGACATATTAGAATGAATATGTTGTTTTTGGCAGAGGATGAAACCCCCGTAAAACTCTCTATTTTTAACTAATTTGGAATTATTTTCTTGGTTTTTAGGCTTCCAACCTCCCTAAAAAACGTCAACGTTTTACCACATTAATCTGTTCGCTGGGATAGTCAACATTTGCCAATTATCAATCCATCAATTAACCAGATCCAACGACCAATATTTCTTATGTTTTCTGATAGTCTAGGTAGAAACTAAAATAATACCTTGGCCATCATCCGTGCTGATAGCTTGCCCTTATATTTATACAATTTGCTGGCTTGCCAGAATTAAAAACATATTTAATCGCGCGAGCGAACAAAATTGAATCTGTGGTTAAACCTGTGAATATGCGGATTTAATTATGGTCCCGCAGGGAAGTGGTTTTGATCCTTGACAAAATCTTTAAAATTAGGATTTTACATCAAATTTCGTCCTAGGTGTATCTTCAGAAGGGAAGATAATATTGAAAATGTTGTTTATACGTTGGGAAACAGGTGGTTACAGAGAAACAATCTGCGGTTACCTGCAGATAAAGAATGAATTTGTAGAGACCTTTCGGCTTTCATGCAGGGACTTCATATCTAGATATCATATCCATTTCACCGTCTGTGCAGCGTCTGTAGTCTGCAGACGGTCAGTGATTTTGCTAGGGTGTGTGTTTCATGAATTTTAGACCAAAGTTTGAGTTCTGAACTAACATTTTCGTATGTCTGGCAAATTTTACATGAGCGATTTGCCTTTACAGTCAATTCAAATTTCGCTGAAAAGACCAATTATTTGAGGTAACCAAATGTTTACTCTAACTATTAAAAGAAAAGAATTATGGACGAAAGAAAATAATTATGGATTCAAAATAAACAAAGAACACCGATCAACCGTTCGTGCATCACGGGTAATACTAATGACACTCGTGGTAAAACAATTGAAATAGTTGGGATTAATTACAAACTGGGAGTTGTGTTTGAAATGACAAGGATTACGATATTGTGACTTAATGTTCACATGCTTGACCTTCTGTAGCAAACTCTTTATAAATGGTTAAGATAAATTGTTCTTTTGGGCGGAGAGAAATGAAAAATGGATTATAAAATTCTGTGGCTGGCATTGTGGCCGGAAATTTGTTGCTCGACTGATTTTCCGAGGACAATCGAATTAAAGCCGTCATTTCGGAAAGTTATGTTACTCAAATTGGTCAGAAGGGACTAAACAATGTGCCTTATTTAATGTAGTAACACGATTAAAGGGCGCTCTACCAAGTTGACTATCAATTATTATTCAAGCTACCACAAATCACGTGGAATATGCTGCAAGTAGTTTTAAAGAGGCAACCCAAACCATCATGACTGGTTATTGTTAATATTCGTCGAAATCTAGTATCATTCTCATTAAATCTTCTCTCAGTTTTGCATGCAGTTTTAATTCTAAACTTCTCTCCTTCGAGCGGCGAGGGAAGATAACCATGGTATCAGTATCGATTAAGATACTGCACTGCCTCTCTTTAACACGTCACGGTATGGCAACTAAACGTTTTGTCAGTTTGCATAACTAAACGTTCTAGCCGGGTAACTAGCCTCTATAAAGAGCTTGACTTCTCGATCTCTGCTCAGATCGTCGCCTCCCGGAACTCTCTTCTTCTTCTTGCCCTCTGGTCATGTCTTCTCGCCATTGCCTTTCCTCTACATTATCGGCCAAACATATTTTGGAGAGAAGCGTTGCCATAGTATCAAAATCTATCATTGATACTAAACATTCCACTTTTTTATGATGTCATGTCATGATAAGCTTTGTTTATATTCTCAAATCTCATGATTCCGAATAATTTGCTCAAGATAGACCAAACATAAACTTCATTAAACATGCTACAAATGTTCGCAATACTTCGATAAAATGATTAAATCTGTTCTATTGGTTCTCTAAAAACGGTAAGACGCCCTATATAAATATTCAATAAGGGGACTCCAATTTCAAAAATCAGAGCCTGGAGGCTGAAAAGCTTGTGTTTTTAAGGTACTGAATCGCTGAGTACTCTTGCGTTCGTCGGCACGTGCCGAAAATTGGGTGCACGGGTCAGTGGCCGATTAGCACGTGACCAAGGGACGTGCTTGTTAAGGAGACCCGATTAGGGATTGGGTGGGGATCATGGGACCGTTCAGCAGCACACCTGCACCTAAATGAGTTTAGGGAGTTTGGATACAGTTTAATTGGGGTATGTGGTGCCATAACGTCAGGGTGGATCTTATCACGTGATCCGTATTTCTGGTTATTATTGGCGGGAGGATCTGCTCGCTGATTGGACCAGATCTCAACATGCATTGTGTGCCAATGCCCCACATTGCCTGCTAATCGGGTCTGTTTCCGAGTTTAAAACGCAACACTCTCCTCCCTCCATCTTTGGAATTTGTCCTCGTTTAATTGTTAACACTTCTAACCATCCCAAATAGTTGTAGAAATATTTTTCTAAGCGTGGGATGGTCTAAAAGTAAAAGTGGAAATCGTACTGACTGTTTGTCCATTTTCGAAAATCCTGCTGATATCGTCTGTACGATTTCCCACCGTCAACTGGATTTAAGTTCAATTCAGTTCATTTAAGTTCATTCGTTCATGTCTCCGATACTGTACTGCAGCCATGAATTTCAGTTGCACGATTAACTCAACAGTCAACATATGATAGACTTCTCTCGGTGCGATTAGTCATCCCTTTCGGCTTACTGTGAGCACGTTTCCCCCTTCAATGCTACAATTCAGTATGATTAATACCACTTGTGCCTTCATTTTGAGAAATTTGTTTCAAATGTGTGCTGTATTGTAAAAATCGAGGTTTATTAAATCATCGTTTAACTCTAAGCCTAAAATACAATTGTAATTCTATTTCGGTAAAGTATGTTCTGTCTCGATGAGAGGGCCTTTCACTCTTTGAATCGCCGATTTCGCGATACAACCAACCTTAAACGCGGGTCCGATCTGGAGGGCAGATAAGAAGTAGATACAATTTGTCACCTATTACAGTAAGGCTCGCCAGCTTCCCTCCTACCAATTGTCATTTGTAACGATCACATTAAAACCTTGTAGCGAATTGAATTGTTGACGTGACATTTGCGTTGTAGTAGTCTCACGTGGCTGGATTGTTTGTTGACATAGACCTGTTCTCTCTTTGACTGAACGCCCTGGACGGGCTCGCTCGTCAAAGTGACATATTGGTACGAGTCGTTCTTGCCAGCTGCTTCAACTGTCATGACAAAATCGGTCTGGAGTGGGGAAAAGCGGCTCAGGATAAGCAGCGTTCTCAGCAAGTAAAATATAGTTTCGAGGCGTACGCTTCAAATCACTGACCCTTGAATACGGTGCTCCTTTTACCGTTCAATATGGTGCTTCATGTGTTAAAGTTCCGTCTGTTAAACGTTTTCCCAGGAATCTCCTGGCCACCAAAATTACAGGCATTCTCACCGCGGGATGTATTGTTCCGTCAAATTGTCAAGTTTTTAAGAGCTTGCCTGCCCACCAAAGACTCGAATGGTGTGAGCCCTGATCCGTGTTTCCTTTTTGATTACAAGTAGCTGTCATTATGCAGTTTCGCCCTCGGTTCCTAAGCATGTCTTGAATCACGTAGGGCTGTTAAGGTGGCCGGAGTTCGTGCTGATCGTTGTATCTGTATGCGGATATTGACGGGTAATCGCGGACTTTACTGCCTCTTGTGATTTTTACCACGTGGGCAGAGTGGCGCGTTTTGCTCGTGTCCCGAACTTCCCCGATACCCTCACTCGACACCTACATCCTAAACCGGGCTTTGTTTATTTTAACGCTCCCTGTGGTTGATTTTTCTTGGTTTCGTTAGTTTTCCGGCGAAAAAAGGGACAGAAACCCGGGTGGGCTTTGAAGAGAGAAAAGCATTTCACACGTCGTAACACTGATGAATTTCACCCAGAGCCGCGAAAATAGCATAGATGCTACTTCTTCCATTCCAAGCGTCTATATTTATTTTGCACCCTGCCACCCTAAGATTTAGTTTGGGATAAAGTCAAGCTTGAAACCGTTTGATTTTTCGCTCTCTTGACTCTTGTTTAAATCACTTAGAATTTAGGTGAATTTTGTCATGGCTTTCAAATCTTAAATGGGAATCATCAACAGTTTGGAACTCCCCTCTGCAATCCAGACCAATCTTTTTTTATTTACTAAGGCCTAGCCCATGGGCCATAGACCTTCCAGCCGGTTTTGGGCGGTGAATTTGGCCCTCCCGTCCGCCTGAATCGTCACACTGTCACAATTTTGGCTTTCAGGGCAATTTTCCTGACTGTCTTGTCAGATGTTACTTTGCCTAAAGGTCCGCCATAATCTAAAGTAATTGTTAATTAGAGGCTGTTAATCGTCTTTGCCAAATTAGCTCATCATATTCAATAATTTAATCAAAGTTCAGGCTGGCAAGGTACTTTGATACTTATTCCTCCACAGTCTGAAACAAAGTGTGAGGGGTTGCTTTGAGCCGTACCGGGAGACTGTACCCACCCAATCACCAGCCTTGCCCCTGTCACGTGGGATGTAACGCTGGATGCGCGTTGCGTCCCCTCTAATTCTAACCTCCCAACTAGCTAAACATTTCTCCTGGCCTTACTCTCTACTTCGCCCCCGCTCTTTCTGATTTCTGAACAGTCCTCCCGAGCTTCTCCTTTTGTGAACAATTCTCCTGGCAACGCTTCACCATCTTAAGCATTTTTTAACTATCCAGCAGTCGGCACGTCGCATGGTTCATTTTATAGTACCATATACTAAATATACTTATAGCTGTTAATGTTAAAATCCAATATTACTTCCTAAACCACCATCTTGAAACAACCCGTCTTTGATTGTTGATGATCTTTCCCGCTTTTTTAAACTCCATCAACACCCCTCTTCATAATTCGCTTAACTCGTGATGTAAAAAGAAGCTTCTGCTATTTTTTGGGTGACGTTGGGGATCGTTATTTCGATTCATCAAATACTTTTTATTAAATGTTTGTGTATTTGTACTAACACAGTAATTATTCTAGCTATCCGGCTAACCCCAACTGCTTTACGAACTACTGCTACCCTCTGAAATCAATTTATTCTCATCATGGCAAAGGTAAGCTATTGTGTGATTTAGATACTTGGTGTTAGATCTTACGTCTCGAATTTTACTATGCATATATTGCTACTTTGAATAATCAAAATTGAATACCATCTTGAACGTTCGAGGGTGTACGTAGTACTATTAATTGATTTGCTTGACAACCATTAAATATTTGATTCTCGAACGATTATTCTTTGATTTTATCATGTCGTACGGGTAGCTGATCATTAATCAATAATTTATAATTTTAGCTAGAAGATTTCTAGTTTCATTTTAGCTGAAAACTCAATCGGCGAAAAGATTTATAATAATCATTATTTTGCTGAAATCTTGCTGCTAACACATCCAAATCTCATATAACCAGCACTGAATGATCAAGAGTGCTCTTCCACCCTTAAAATCTCTTCTAAATTTCAGCATCCCCAGGTGTTCCAACCTAAGATAATCGTTCACCAATCGGGAATGAGTGCAGGTCTCTACACCCCTTCTTCGCCCTACAGCGCCTTCTCGCCAACCAAGGCCAAATCGTCCTATTCATCCTCACCCCGTTCAACATGTACGTTCAGACACGTGACCTTGTTTCTGTGTCACGTGACCCACTCAGCTCACACTCTCTTGGTTATATAGTGTGGTTGAGCGGGAATTCAAGTAACCGTGACCTGTGTGTTGCTGCTGCTGACCACCGGCCCCGCGCTGTCGTGTTTAGTTGTAGACATGTGATGTTTCTTGCACACTCTTGTAACATTCCATCTCTCTGCAACTGTTTACCTCAGCGGTGTCGTGTTCATGTTTATTGTGATCTGGTGCTGTAGTATGTGTGTGTGTGTGTCACTGCTAACTTCTTTTGTTCTTTGACTTTTCATGCTGATCACTCAACTTGTTTCGTGATCTTAAAATCGTAAGCACTTGGTATTTAGCTGACAGCTTGGTAAATTCCATCACAAGCTACAACAACATATTTTACAAGCATCATGTAATTTTCTCGAGCATAGATTACATAGTGCCTTGTGGTTTTACATAATTACTGTGCAATTTATTCTAAAAATCTGGCTCTAAGGTCATCTTTTGAGAACACATCTAGGAACATTTTTATCCAAAAAAAGCAAAGTAAGGTAACCCCAACGTTTGCAGACTCGTCCCTGTGCCGCGGAACAACTGGAATCAGCAGTTACACCTCCTCCATATCCAACACTCAATCCAACGTCCAAGCTTCCAACACTCTACTCCACGAGTACTACTATCAGGTCAGTTCTTTTCTTTTATTTTGTGTATTGTCGGCGTGGTCAATTTAAACGGATTGGTTTTGAACCCTCAATAAATCAGCGTTCAGAAACCTCTTACATTAATGATGGCTGCAAGATTAAACGGGGTCATTCGCAATTTTGCGAGTTCGTTAAATTCTCGAATCGAAAATTTGCGATCTCTCTTTTGAACCATTAATTTCTACCCCCTTCGTCTCGTGACTCTAAGATGTCATGTTTTGTACTGTAGCGGTATTAGAAATCATTCAAGTAAGATACAAAATTGCGTCCTCAACGTCTAATCGAAATTATCTCAAAACAAGTATAACTACCAGAGATATAAGATCTGGTTAGAGATTATCTTTAATTTCTACTATCTAGTTAGGCCACCTTACTTGCAATAAACGTTGTCAAAGTTAAAAACCATGAAACGAACAAACTACTTTAAGATGACAGGTAGTACTAGTAGACCTTGGCAACCTCCTCGATTCTTTAATCTGGTGTTTCAAGTGGTAAGAGAGCGGCTCAATGTAGACGGAACAGCAGTGTTATCATATCGGCTTCTTTGGGGTATTAATTAATTAATAAATTGGACTTCATCACCATTACCTAGAAATCAGCGCATGCATTGCCTTAAATCGGCAAATTGATAAATACACAACGCTTGCCAATGCTTGATTGCAATTCTTCTAGTTGTCGACATGGTATAAAAGCCTAGGAATCAAGCAATCTCAGTACTCGTGCTACAAGGTCGACAAATAAATTTGTCACAGATTGGTGCATTTGTCATGTTAGATCACCGTGGAGAAGTTCCTGATTCTATAACGAGATTATTATTATGTGTGTCAAATCTCTTATTAGTTTAAGACGCGGCACCCTCCCCTCCACGAAATATGGGCACAGCAGCTGGCAGAATAAGGTCACCTCGGGATAAAAATTACTCTAACTAATTGTTCTAAGTGTCGATTAGATATTTCGTTTTTCAAAGCATACCGAAGATTTTATCAAGTTAGACCCGTACTGTGCAATCGCCCTTTTTTCGGCAACAGCTTAAGGCTTAATTAGCAGAGATACTAAGGTCAATTCATCGGACATCATCAGACATACTCAAACAGTCAACCCCTGAACGTAAATTGTTGCCCTCATAGCCCAAAATTTAGCACAGTTTATTGCTCAAAGGAAAATGGCGAACAGCGGACGCTTCTTTTAATGGCCGTCTTCATGCTTTTGCTCTTAACTGACTTATCAATCATGATTAAAAAGTATCGACATATTTCGTTCTTTTTAAGATTTTAGACAAACTGGGCTCTGATTGGTTGAGCGGAGGGTTCCCCTCAGATCTTATTGGTGGAGGGGCAGAGCTTGCTTCACGAGGCTAGGGAGTCTAATGATGATTAACGCGTCAGAGCCCCTAATCTCAGTCGATTGTGTCTGTGCGGGCGCCCTGTTACCCAAGATATCCGGGCTAAGTCACCTGCCCCTCTGCAATTCACGGATCAACGTGTGAAATACCGATCACGTGCTCCAATTGTAGGCAATTGTGATTGATTTTGAGAATGGGTTTGAAAAATGTGAGATTTCTGGGTGGGTCCAGTAAGCTGGGAATTTACCGGATAATTTGTTTCAGGCGTTCAGGACCGGATTCCCGTCTTTGTTGGACCAATGTCACCCATTTAGTGAGAGAAAGAGCAGCACTAAGAGATTCGTCTGCAACTATCACGGATGTGGAAAAATGTTCGGAAGAAATGAGGAAAAGGTAAGATCTACATATAATACTGTAGCTTTATCAATTACATTTTGTGGGGGGGTTACTAGGTATCATGTTATAGTTGGAGATTGAATTTTTCGACTTTCCCACCAGAAATTCATTGTTCAAAATTCTTAGTTCTTCTTAAATAGCTTCTGGTGTTTTGGCATAGAATTTGTGAAACTAAGTAACTTTTACTTCAGACTCGACATGAGAAGATACACAGTGGAGTTAAACCTTACGCCTGTGAACTCTGTAGTAAACGGTAAGAACTGACTTCAATTTGCCACCGCAGTTCTCTTTATGTTCCAAATATTTTATGAATCTTCTGTTTTTCTTCGAAACTTTCATTTTACCCTAAAGGTAATGATATAGAAGATATTGTTATGCTCTTTGCTGTAGCGAATATTCCTTTCTTAATATGTTCCCCGCCAGGTTTGGAAGGAAGGATCACCTGACCCAGCACATGAGGACCCACAACAGAGGTCGAAGGGAAGAAGGAAGACGGGACGAGAATGACAAGAACAGCAGAAACCAGCAGAACAACAAGAACAACAAGAACGCCCGGATCTGAAGAAACATAGCGCCGCTAAGACTGTGCCTGCTTTAGCTCCAACTCTAGTGTACTGATACGTGTGTGCAATATAACTCGCCCTTTCAGGGACGTATGTGTGCCAGACAACAGATTTATAACTGCAAGTGACTATTTATGCGTTAATACCGATATGCATCTGTGTGTAATAGCAATAAGTACCGCATTTGTGTGCGATTAAGCATTTGTGTCGCACAATATGGCGTGTGCTGCTCACATCTGAGCGATAAGACTGAAATGAGATCGCTTAGAATATAGGATTGCGAGTAATTTATGATTAAAGTTAACTTAAAGTGCGTAAGGACACTGTTTTAATTATTTAAATGTATCTTATTAATATTAATAGCTAAATATTTAACGATTAATAGTAAATAGGTATACAGATTTTCAAAATTTAGCTTCGAGTTTAAAAATTTTCGCTCATTTTCGCTGTAAAATAAATTTAGAGCTAGTAAAATATATTTAGAGCTAGAGTAGGAGCAAATGTTACGCCCTTTCTCAAACTTATAGTTTTCTATCTTAATTTTTTATCTTTCCTTTCAAAAGATGAAGAGTCTAACAGGATTTGAGTTTCTATTTTATCGAGTTCTTTACGGCTTAATATTAGTGGTCCAGCGTACAACTCCTTTTTTTAATATGGAGAGGTTAATTGTTAAAAGTTGATTGAGTGGTGATTGGCAGTAAGAATTATAGTTCAACCTTAGTTTAATGCTTAACAACACTATAATCTTCATCATGCTTTGTTCATGTCGACCTATAAAGTATCTCGTTTGATTTTGTAAAATCACATTCCTCCTGATCAATGATGCATGTCAATTTTGAGGACTATGTCGGGCAAAGGTATTTCTCCAACGGCAAATACTGAGTAATTTTGACAAATTTCCATTGATACGGATAGTTGCAAATTCAAACTATAACTTCTCCCAACTGTCAAATCGTCACTTCCCCACTTGAGTTACTGTTAATTAAATAATGAATTGGTACACCTCCGTCAATTATGCGGAATTTTGAATAAAATCACGCGTAACTTTGACCAATTATTAATGCGACATAACAGTGGGAAATATGAGGGTGGTAGCAAGGTAATAGTTAGTTCCGGAAGTGTGTTTGAAAGGTTGGGGTTCTAGACAATGGACTGCTCTGGAAACATTGTCGCAGTCTCCCAACAAAGGAGCCAGGAGACGACTTGTCACAAGTTCCGGAGCAGCTAGACATTCCCCCTCCTCTAATTTCCCTGCTGTCCAATCAGCGAGGAGAGGAGGGTGCACGTGTTATCTGCTGCCCAATCAGGGAGGAGGGGAGGGAACACGTGACCTGGCTGTTAGTAGCGTTATTGCTACGTGATAGTTCCCGAGGTGCTAACTTGAGAATCCGTGACAATAGGAATACTTGCAAATTGGACCGTTGAGGAAGTAATAGTGAACTTTGTTACCAGCCCTTATCTGCCCTTATTTGTTTTTCAACTAGCTAACTAGCCACTCGATTGTTAAGAAAGTCTGCCACATTGTGAAAGTTTACGTAACCATGGTAATACTAATATAACAATCTACCTATTACTGAATTACTTGTAAACAGTAAAGTATGGTGTCATAAAAGTAGGACTTCTAGCTATTCCTTCATCAACCACTGTAATTATCTAGATCTAGATCCGCTGTTGTTAAACGGTTTGGACTATAATTAATACTAAAAGTATGGGTTTACAAGTTCCAATAACATCATATGCATTATACATGTTATAGATATGTTAATTATGAGTTGTTCATTGTTCATGTTTGAAATTTCTTGAATGAGGTACAAAATGGTGTCAAAGTAATTCAAATTGTACGCGAACGTGGCACTTCATTATCAATTATTAATATTATTTAAAAGCCATTTTGAAATTTACCCAGATGCATTCTCGCCTGGTTTTTAAATTGGTCGTGAGTCGCGGTAGTAAAAAAAAGCTGATGCACTGATGCAGTTAGCAAAAGCAATTGTATTTGTTTGTTCGTTCAGATTTAAACACAACGCAATTTTAAAGTTAATTCGACTGAACTTTTTAATGAAAATTACGTATGAATCCGGTTAACAGTTAAACCGATTTGCAATCAATTGCAAACGAGTGAATTCAAGTTTGAAGTAAAATCCACTACACAATTTTCACAATTTTCAATGTTCAAGGAATCTAGAATTCTCAAATTCAATTCGTGAGTATATCCCAAATATAAATTTACCAGTCCCAGGCTCAAATCATGAATCCACTATTAGTAGTACTAGTAGTACGACTACTAGTAGTAACTTAGTACTACTACTAGTAGTAGTACTACTACTTGTCCTTGGCTAGCCGTGTATGATAACATGCACTTCGGATACTCCTTGTTCTTTATACATCAAAGGCCTTATATTATGTTACATTATGTTATCGACCATATTACCCTTTTGTTTAACTTGATTTATTAAATGTGAAGCTGAAAACTATTACCTTATCGGACCTTATTTGAACGGACATTACTTGAACGCTGGAGGCCCTAGCGTTCACCTTAATGTCCGTTCAAATAAAGTCCGTTCAATTAATGTCCGTCCAAGTTAAAGTCCGTTGAATTTTTTTCAAACATTTTTCCATTTCGAACTTTTTGTCCAGAATATGACAACTTTTAATTTCAGTCAATTTCAATAGCTATCATTAAACTAAACTATATCGTTGAATCAATGAAAACAAGTTATTATCAAATTTTAACGATCTAAATTGTAAATATCACATTATGGCATGATCACTATCTTGATCTATTTTTTTTGCCCATGCAGTTGATCTACGAGGGAAAAACAAAGCAATCACTTTTTATTCCTAAATAATAATATACATTTCCGAAAGACTTTGAGTTTATTTTTAACGACAAACATTGGGTAAATGAATCTACAACAATAAGTTTTATCGATAACATCATAGTGTCGTATGTTAACGACGAAAAGGTTCTCCTTGGTCTGCCGGAGGCACAGATAACATTTCTAGTGTATATTATGATGTTTTCAAGGGTCACTTGACGGAAAAAGTCAACGAAATTATGGCTCTCAACAAAATAGTTCATGAGCTAGTCCACGCCAACATGACATACTTGTTTCACATTTCATCCACTAGAAATTACGGTAAATCGTGTTACCAAGGACATTGTCCGACGTTGTTATAGCTCATATTACTCAGGGGAGGTAATTAAACAGATAAGTGCTGGGAAAGCTCCACGTGATGTTAAGGTTAACCTAAAGTAAAACCACTTCACGCCGAATGGGTGGTAAAAGTTTACACTGAAATGCAGGACCGAGGTAGTTTGATAAAAAAAGGTTTCCAAAATGCGGGTATTACTGATGCTTTAAGCATGGAATATTTATTGCCCGAAAACCCATTTGATGAAGATGATATGTGATATTAGACAATAATCATGTACACATATTTTAACTATGTTTACTGATCAAAGACTGCTTTTCTTGCTTACTGTATGAAAAATGGATTTAAAAATGATTTGCTAAAATTTTAAAAACGTTTTAAAAAATTCGGATTTTTGATGGTTTTGATTGCCTTCTAGCGTTCATATTAATGTCCGTTCATAATTATGTCCGTTCAAGTAATGTCCGTCCAAATAAGGTCCGATAAGGTACTTTATAATTAAAGCACCAAGGGTACAATTAGCGCTCCTACTGAATCGCTCGCCCAAATTTTAAGAAAATTCTTGTGAAAAGGCCCTTTGGGCATGAAAGTGATCTAGATCGGTGTATTGTTGGACGCTGATTCCGAATCAGCCCCCCCCCCCCCCCCCCCCCCCCCCCCCCCCCCCATGACGTAGGGTTAAAATGTTTCCCTGGAGAGTTATGGGCAAAAAACCGTTTTGGTCACGTGACAGGCTAGTAAAATACGAATTCGATTGTTTAGGGCCCGGGTTAGGGTTAGGGTTGTGGTAAGGGTTATGGTTAGCTTCGGGGTTATGGTTAGGGCTAGGGTTGGGATTAGGGTTTATGTAAAACCGTTTTGTACGGCTGCAAAACCATAAAAAACCAAAGTCACGTGAAATTTTTGGGCGAGCGAATTTGTAAAAGCCTACAATTAGAGTTGGTACAAATTTTTCTCTCCGTCCGATTTTAATTTGTTTTTTGTCTCACGTCGCGATATTTGATTTTTGTGGCTATTTACCACAGCAGGGGGGCAACTTTGGTACCAAACTGCAAACGTTGTTAAAAAATGTGAATAAAATAATTTCAGCGTAAAACCTGATTATACTTAGTATAGAGATCATGGCAGGGATTAATTAACGGAAATTGAAACTCTAACAGTGAACAGTAACTACTATTTTGTTTTTAACAGATCAGGAAACTGCAAAATCCACGCATACAAATTAGATAAAGCAATTTTAGATAAAGCAAATTAGATAAAGCAATTTTAGATAAAGCAATTTAGATAAAGCAATTTTTTATTTCAGCCATACCAGCCCTTAAATACAGAATCACGGACAACATCCAGATTCCAGATCACCACAGTTGACAGTTTTGGATCGGAAATAGCTCCCTAGCTTACTTACAATACAAGGCAAAGTCAAACAACTTCACATTTTGTGAACACTGTCCAGAAGAGGAAGAAATCTCAAAGCACTAATTTATCATTTATGTGCCACTGTGCCACTGTGCCACTGTGTATGGTGTAGGATACATGACCCTTAGATTAAGAATCTTCGATAACATATTTCTAACCTGGGAAGGCGGGAAGCGGAAAACATAATCTCAGCAAGAATCAGTACGGTTAATGGTTATTAATTATATCGAGGCAACTAACCGCCTACTAAAAGAGGACCTGTTTAACGATCCCGTTAACCAGATGCAGCAGTAACACTCAACATTATATACTCATACAAGTTGCGCCAGTGACCAGGGGCACCACCCGGCGGGATGGTGATATGTGATAACATGACAAAGCTTCAAGACTACAGGACACAGGAGTATGTTTTGGAGGACTTCGCCGCTTCGACGTGCCGCGCAAACTAGCATTCTTGCTTCGCATCTGGCACGATCTGGAACATGGAAGGGTTGACATCTTCAATCAAGAGTATGTTATTATTATGATTGTGATATTTATTATTAATATGAATGTAGCATATAACTTGAGAGTCTCTCTCCAGCAGCAGAAGTTGGAACGCGTTTATGTGAATTAAATACTAGAAAGCCTTGAATAGAATTAGCCACAGCGTACAACTACAGTGAGGCTTACATGTTACATTTACAGTGAACAGTCGTCTCCAGTCTCCGACCAATCATGTCTGATGTCAGATTGTCAGAAGAAGAAAAAGAAGAAACACTTGATTCAGATTGACGATTATATCAGCATAAAGTTCCCAGTAAGGTTGATGCGTGCGATTTTTCGCCAAAAATGTTTCTAATTTTTGGCCCGTAACTAAAACTTCAAACTTGTAGGTTTATACTTTTATAACCTAGCAAGACGTGCGCCAAGTTGAACTCGTCGACGGTCTAATATTTGGAACAAATATCACCCGTTAACTTTAAACTTTAAAATTGCAATTGCATTGTTAATTATTTTAAAATAACTTTTATGGGGCCGGGGTTATTATTATATGTGGTTATTATCAATTATGGCATGGGGTTATTATTAAATGTTGCTATCATGCATGTATGAGAAACAAAACTTTAGTTTTTTGTATTAATATTGCAAACTTTTTTAAATTTTACAATTATAAAATATTGCTCTAACCAGAGCCCTCTCGCTTGCAATAGCGGCTTCGCG